TATGGCCAGCTAAAACAATTAATCCTTATATGTGTACAACCTTCTCATTGATGTCAAGCATAAAATAAAATAGAAAATTTCAAAACATAATTACTATAAAATAGGTGGATTGAAAAGAACATGATATCCACACTTTAAGCTGCAGTTTTGCCTGCGTCACTCAAGTCCTTTCATGTGTTTGACTATTGATCTTTTCTCTGGTGTCCCACAGGGATCTTTTTTGGATCCTTTTGTAATGTTCTTTATGTCCTTGTTTTACACCAGAGTTATGCTGATGATATTCAGAGTCATTTGTGTTTAAGGCCGGATGTGACTAGCTAGCAGTTATCACATGATACGTGTGCGACTGAAGTATCAGTGCTGGTAGCTGAAAAAGCCCTCTCTAGTCAATGCTTGTGTTTCCTCTGCCGTAGTCTGTCTATGATGTGTGCCAGCAGCGGCACTACACTCTGCTCTCCACTAATTTAGAAGGAACCTGCTCAAAGAAAACATCAAGGAGCACTGCAGATCGACCAACAGAAAGTCAGACAAAAGAACGTAGAGAGATTCCTGTCAATTATCAAAATAAAACACAATATACAGACATATAAACCATCACTTTATCAGCAAATTGTCAAAACAGGCACAAAATGAAGAGCAAATTCATTGTTCTCTTAATTCCTGCGTGGTCTTATTGTTCTAGTGTGATCTCGTGAACCCACAAGTCCAGCAGAGAAGGAGCCGGGGGGTGAAGGGCACGTGCCATAGGGCGGAGCAGAATCACAGCAGAGATGGAACTCTGCGTACATGGATCCTTTGCAAACCATCACTTACATACTGATTGTTTTGCAGAGTTATCTTCTGACTGCCCTTAAGGACTGAATGACTGACAACTTTAAAAGCTAAACACAGATAAAACTGAGATCCTTATCATTCAGTCAGATTCTCCAAGGTTACTCAGCTTAATAGTTACCTTTCACAAGCTGAGAAGTCTAATCTTAGAAATCTTGGTGTCCTATCTTATCAGGCTCTGTTCTTAGATCATCATTAAAGTCATTGACCCTTACATGCTTCTTCAAATCACAAAAACAACATTCACTTTGATAGATAGATACTTTATATATCCCGAGGGAAATTCAAAGCTGATCTTCACAACCTGAGCTTAAGATGGTTGTTCACACCTCATATTTTTATATATTCTCTGGTCAAGAATTCTGTTGACCAGGTGCAGCAGGACTACTCACACATCCATTTTTCTTTACATTGGCGTCCCATCAAAGTCAGGGTTTTGTTTTTAAATATGCAGCCCTGCATGATTAAGAACTTTATGCCCCCATCAGCAGTAGATCCCTTTGGTCTTCTGACCAGGGCCTACTGGTTGGTGGTTGTGTATTGCTCTTATACATAAGATCTGTTTCTGTTAATGCAATTTAAAAAGTCAAAGACTGATTTAGTCAAACTCCCTAAACATTTTTTTATTTTGTGGGTTTAAAGGTCACATATTACGCAAAATACACGTCACCATGTTCTTCAGATACCAATATGTGTCCCTAGTCTGTCTTAAAAGAAGAGAAGTAAAGCCCATCCTGTCTGTCCTGTTCCTGCTCCACTTTTCAGAAAATGTGTGCTCAAACAGGCCGTTTGGAGATTTTCCCTTCATGACATCACAAAGGGTAGTAACCCCTCCCCCAGGTGGGTGACACTCCCACAGCTAGGTGTTTGTTCTGCCCTCTGAGTCTGCCTTCTCAACGTAAACAATAGGACATGGAGCGAGAAAGACCGAGCCACCCAAGCCCATCCAGAGAGGGGGCGTGGTCAGACACAGTTCATTTTAAATTTTGTATATATATTTTCAGAGAGTGAAATGTTTTGTTCTAATTTGGTTTTGCATGGGTGAGACCTGAATTTAAAAGTGGTGAAACATGAGTATAACATATCCCATAACTCTTCCAATCACTGACAGTTTCACAAAAGTATTGCTGCACTTCTTGTGTATCAATAAATTCTTATCATACTCCCAAGAGGTTGTGTGTATTGATTTTTAAAAGATAAAGTTCCACTCGCTTCACATTTAACAGCTTAGATCGAGAAAAAGATCTTCCATAATCTTCTTCAGGTGAGAATAACCTTCCTGCGACCCGATTCTGACACTTTCAGATAGAGAAACATCATAATATTCAATGTATTTATTAAAGTCTTTCCACAAAAGGCTTTTCACACTGCAACAAAAAATACAAAGAGGATATCAGTGAGCGCCATTAGGATTCATGTGTTCATGTGTGCATGTGTTTGCGCTGGAGTCCATAGTAGGCTATAACCAGCTCATTGGGTGTGTTCTGAGCTCCAGCACAGAGGAATGTGAGGTGTGGTTGTCAATGTTACCCAACACAAAGCAGTTTAGCATGCAGTCAGACACCTATAGCAACCAGCAGCTGTTTACAACAGTCAGTCGGAGAATTCAAAACCTCAACAGTAAGCTGTGTGTGTGTGTGTGTGTGTGTGTGTGTGCGCGTGTGTGTGTGTGCGTGCGTGCGTGCGTGCGTGTGTGCATGCGTGTGCAGGTGTGACGCTGCATCAGTGTGTGTTCAGTCTGCTGGAGATGCTCCTGTGTAATAGCTCAGCATTGCTTCCCTCACTTTTATCAAGTTTAGGAGTACGATGCACAAACTAAAATCTTCAAAGTTCAAGTCAGAAAGATCGCAATACTTTTAATATAAGCCACACTAACCTGAACAGTCCAGATAAACCTCTTATTTATGAAAAAGAATATATTTTCAACAATTAAAATGCCTTCATTTTCCCAGCATGGTCATGGGGACCTTAAAATGTCTTTTAAGGAGTTGTTGTTGTTTTCTCGACTGGTTGTATCCTAATCTAAAGAGCCCCTCAAACCTACAAATTGTGGTATAGTTAGCGCTCTTTAATACTATATAAGCATATTTTTACAAGACATAAACGCACAAAAAAGGCCTTTTTACAAATTAATATACCCAATGCAGCAAGCAAACTGTAATTTAGTATATTGAAAGAAGATGCTATGTCTTATTTCATATTTGACCTATTTCAGTAATTCAGCCTTATTTTAACTTTTGACGTCTTGGAATAAAAAGTTTATCTGGACTTGTCAGGTGGATGTACACATTCACAAGAAGAGTCTAATAAGTGTAATGAGATATTTCTGAGCAGAACAATTGCAAAGATTTGAAAGTGAATGTGTTCAGAACCCTTTAGGAAAATAACATAGCCTGTATTCTTTTTGTAAACAATGTCTTTCTTCTAAAAGTCTGCATTGCAACAGACTTGAGTTTAATGTAAGCATGATAAATAAATTCAAGATGTTGCAGGTAATGACAGTTGTGGTATACTGTGATCTCTCCTGTACTTCCAAGTACCTGCAAATGAGATCATATAATTGTTTTCAATCATCAATACTAAATCATCAATCAATACTAAACATGCATGCTTTACACTTTACACACACTACTTGCAAAACAACTTAGTTAGTTATCATATTTATTTCAGCACACTTTGTTCTCTTACACTTGTGTTATCTGCCTACTGCTTACAAATGAGTTAATTTTTATAAAGGAAGTTACCACAAATTGGATGTTGTCATTAAACTCATTAGACTCACTTCTCTTTGTTTTTAAAGTGCAAATACACAACTTCATTTAGGGAAAGGAAATGTCACTATTCAAGAGACGTATATTGAAGATTGAAGATTGAAGATTCATTAACTTGACCTCTGAGCTCTTCTTCTCTTTCTTCCTGCATCTCTCTTTATCCTACTTTCCAAGCCCAACATTTGTAATATTTATTTCAAATATTCTGAAAACCGTACTTTTCTTTTGTTTTGGTTGTTCTTATACGCCTCAACACCTCTGAGATGCAAAACTTTCACAGAGTCATTCATTTGCAGACACACCTAGATGCGCTACCCGACACTGGCAAGTACGTCCTAAACCACAAAAATGCTAAACAACGCCAACATAACTTTAAGGAATAACAAAAGTTGCAAGGTGAACTCAAGCAGTCCTTTTATGGTAAGAAATAATGAAGCTTGGGGCGCTGGTGGCGCAGTGGTTAGTGCACATGTCCCATGTGTGGAGGCTATGGTCCTCAACGCGGGCGGCCCAGGTTTCGGGTCCGGCCTGTGGCTCTTTTCCCGCATGTCGGTCCCATAGTCTCTGTCCCTGATTTCTGTCTCTAGCCACTGTCCTATTTCTCCAATAAAGGCACAAAAACCCTAAAATAAATCTTTAAAAATGAACTATTGAACTTCTTATAAGTCTCATACAATAAACACAAGCCAAGAGAGCAATTTTTATGGTCAGGAGCTCAAGCACACTTTGGGGTCTACATGTGGACATGTCCTTCTTTATCCGAGAGCAATGTACAAAAACAGAGTCAGAGTCCCTTTTCGTCCCCACATTCATAAACACTCAAAATGATTGAAAAAAAATCATTCAAAAACAGATTCATTTATCAGCTAATTATAGGACTGAGAACAAAGATGATCTGGGGCTTGAATATAATTAGTTATGAAACAAAGTATTGCTGACAGTCCTTGAAGTGAAATTACGAATGATCACTTATGATGGGAAAACAATCCAACTCGTATTTTATTTGCAATTTTGCAAAATATCTGAGGGAAAAATAAAAGACAAAAACCATGTAAAAGAAAACAAGATGACAAGCTTCCAGATAATGATTCAGCTTTTCTGCTCCAGTCAGTAAAACTCATCACTGAAATCAGAGAGCAGAACAAGGAAACTAATATGCCATAAGGGAGGCGAACATTCCTGAAATAGTTTCAATAGTTGCATTTTGGTGAGAGATGGTGCACTGCATCTCCAAAAATGGTGAGAGAGAGAGAGAGGAGTTCACATGCCTCCTTAAACGTTCTCTCTCCTCCCTATCTTGCTGTCAATCACTCTCAACGGGCGGAGCAAGCGAACAGGTACAGCGACAACCAGCCGATTACGCAGGGCTCTGACGCGCTGCAGGTGTTGCCCCGGACACACCCACAAGGCAAACTTTTGTCAGATAGAAACTCCAGCCTGTCAGTCTACAGCAGAGCACCACGGAGGGAGCATTACTAGGTAAGAAGCTGATGATTCACCTGAACTCTTGTTAGATTTTAACCAGACTGCTGCGTCGCTTTCACGGCTGTTGTTGTCATTGACTCCGGGTCAGTCCTGGCCGGAGAGGTGTCGTTCCGCATCCAATAACTTCAATGAAGTTTCCTGGAGTTTGAGTGAAGCTGATTTTGGTCAAAATAAATGTGTTTAGTGTTTTTCGGAGGGACAGCGGCTGAGTAGACATCAGCAGGTCAACTTTAAAATCACAGAATCTACTTCAGACCAGAACTATCAAAGGCTGATGAGAAGAAAGTTCATCCAAGCCCGTAGTACATAACTGTTGCTTCATATTGTTAGATATGAGAATTATTTATGGGGAATATTACGTTTTTCATACACAGTCCACTAGAACGAGACAGGTGTAAATCCTATAGAAACTCAGATTGTAAATCCAAAAGATTTCACTTTATGTGAGAAAAAATATAGATGTGTGTGTGTGTGTGTGTGTGTGTGTGTGTGTGTGTGTGTGTGTGTGTGTGTGTGTGTGTGTGTGTGTGTGTGTGTCCACATATTACACTGAGCCAGAACTGTTACAGCCCAGCGTTGAGCAACAAAGTGAAATTTCCTGGTCACCTCATACAACCTCAGTGTGGACAAATTTATTTAGCATATTTTTTAGAATTATTTTAATAAAGTCATTCTAAAGATTAATTGAGAAACACAGACATACTGTTGAGCCCTAAAGTCCCAATCAGTGTGGAAGTATATCTTCCTGAAGTCTCTGAATCCTAATGCCTTGCAAACACTGTGCAATGGTACAAACTTTGTGGTTCATTGTCAGCACACACTGTACTACAAACACGATTTATGTACTCACAATTGACAGGACGATTGTTCGGCACGTCCTGAGAGCTCAAACTGTACGAGTGATATCAGGACGGGGGATAGACGATGTTATTAAAAGTTTCCTTTGCTGTTTCCATGGTGCTTTCGTTTGCCATATGAGCAGGCACAGTCAGGGAAAGGTAGCTTTAGAATCGACTTGTGGCTCTGCTCCTACTGTATTCAGTGTGTGCAGTCTTAAACCATCAAACTGTTCGTGAGTAGCTGATCAGCAGGCCAGCTGTGCACTGCACTACTGCGACAAACAATCAGGCTGAAATTAGGCCTGACTTGAAAATTAATCAAACTCCGGTCTAAATCGGGCTGAAATTGTGAAGTGTACACCCAGTTTAAACTTTACAAAGAGAGTCAGAACGACTTCCAGGTGTAACCTATTTTTTAATACTTTAACCAAACAAAAAGTGACTCATCAGAATACTAGTGTTGTAAAAATCACAAAAAGAAAGTAAAGGTGAAGACTGTATGAACCAAAAGTAAAAGAATAGTGCTGCCTGTGGGCCTCTGAGGACAGTCTATTTATACTCTTCACTTCTTAGTTCTAATGAGGGCTAAACATTAATGCTAAAGCATACAGTGATATGTCTGACAAGAATGTGTCTGCCTCTGTGGTGCATGAGTCAAGGGAATCTGTTTCCTGTTTACACCTGTGCTCAAAGTCGTGCAGGTCCATAAAGATGAGGTTTTCCAAGTCCAGTTTGGAGGAATTTGACTAGCATGACCTTAAACCCATGAAACACTTTTAGGGAGAACTGGAATATCTCTTAAGAAGCTCTCCAAAAGGAGTAGAGACTGTTTTAATGTGTTTTGAAAGACATGTTTTACTATCAGTCACGGCTTGAATGTAAGGAATATAAACAAAATAACATGCCATGAATGAGATAAAAATATGACTTATATCATCTGGTCATATGTTGGTTCTCTTGGTGCAGTTGATTTCATCATTACTTCAGATTAAAACTAAATCGGAAACAGAAACAGAAAATCAGTGTGAGTAATTAAAGGGAGACTCCCATGTTTGTCCATGTGATGAAACACGTTGTGTTGGTGCATCAGAGTACCTCTCTGTGCTGTCAAAGGGCGAGTTTGACTGTACTCTGCACTGTGCTCTGATAAGACAGCTGCAGAAAGGAGACGTTATCTTTATGTCAGATGGGTGGAGGCCGGGAATGTCTCAGACAATGGCTCCATGTGGAGCCACAGTGTCACTGATTAGTTGATTAATAACTACAATGGTAACAAAAACACTGCCAGACGAGATGATAGTTATATGCACTGGACCTTTAACCATGGCAAGATTTCAGCCCCCACGTGTTGGGAGAAACAGAAAGTTTAGTAGCTGTTTGGTGAAAGAATCCCAGACTTAAGGCAGATTGTGAAATAGGCACAAAATATGATACATAACTTCCTGCACATGCACATCTTTTCTCTTGTTTTTGCATGTCAGTACTGTCTTTAAATTAGATCTGAAAGCGGGTGAATGTCAGCCAACAGTACCACATCACATGGATGTGGCACGAAATGTGCTCTATAACAGTGCCTGCCTGTTGATATCCCCTCGAATAAAGGAAAGAAGTGAGCATATGGAAGTATTTAAACCTAATGGTCACGACCAGGGGAGCAGAAGGTAACTTCCGTAACCTAGCAACATGAGTGTTGATGAGAAGCTTTAACTGAGGCTGTGGGTGCTGCCAGCTCCAAAAATGTTGTCAAGGCCCTTACAAACATTTAGCAGAAGAATGCTTCTTTTTGTTTTCAAGGTTTATTTGTTTGTTTTGCCTTCATTTAGAGATTGAACAGTGGATAAAGTCTGAAAGCGGGAGAGAGAGAGAGAGAGTGGGGAATGACATGCTTCAAATGAACTACAGTTAGGATTTGAAGCCGGGATACTCAAGGACTTAAGCCTCTGTACAAGGAGCACGTGCAATAACCACAAGTCCACCTGCACCCCCAGAAGAAAGCTTCTATCATTACTGCTTACTTAAAGGCTGGCCCCAAACAGAAAGATACTTTGGACATGTACATCTGTTTAGGAGTGATCACCCCTTAATCCAAGAGAAATCTACGGTAGCCTCATGTTGTTTGCTAGCCTTTTTATCTGATTCAGATGCTTTGAACTTTGAAAGAGTTCAATTCCCTTGTGGACAGACTTCATGTGTGCTGTTTGTCCTGAGCTCTGCAGTCCTTCACTGTGTTGTGATGCTGTTGTCTCAATGAATGCTAAAGCTAACAGAGGAGGCAGTCATGCATGTTTAAGTGTTTTCCAGGACGAGGAATGCTGAAACTCTGGCTTAAAACCGTTTGTCAGCATCTGTCTCTTTGCCTCATGGCTCTTTTTTCTTTATTTTACTTGTCTTTGGGGTTCACATTTAGAGATCTGCTTTTGTCTATCTCAGTCTTTCCCACTTTCACTCTTCTACTTGTGTTCTATCATGACTCCTATTTTCCATTTTTTCTTTCTCCTCCCTCCTTTTACTTTCATCTTTTACTTATCTCCCTTCAACATCAAATAATGCCTGAACTCGACAGCAGTCATGGAGGATTTGCATGCCAGAGCTTGATTGTTTTTTTGTTTTTTTTTGTACAAATGTCTTGCCAGTGCATGTTTTCACTTTATTGTATTTGTGGATAATTACTCATTCCATCATTTTTTATTTCCTCATACCTCTCTTTCTCTTTTGTTCCTCTTCTCGTCACTCTCACCTTCTTCCTGTAGAAACCTCACACCCCTTTCATTTTACTTTGGTCCTTGAAATATTTGCTCCTGTCACTTTTTCAAATCAGATAACCTTCAAACAGCTCCCCTGTGTCTCTCACACTGCCTTGTTTTCACTCTCTGGCTCTGCCTTTAATGTGTTTTAATGGGAGGACATTCTTTCCCTTGACTCCGACCCAGTTGACCAACCAGACCAACCAGAAAACTGTTCTGTCTCACAGTGCTCAGCACACACCCATTCACTGTGTTTCTGTCACTCAGTAGTTTCAGCACTATTATTTATCCAGGACTTTTTTTATACAATACTTGAGAGAATATGAGGCTTAATGACAGCGGCTTCTCACAGGGGAACATATGTTGTAACTGGCTAGCTAACTGCTAGCTGCTAACTATCTGGCATTCGAGGCCTAACTGGAAACGTTGACTAAAAGTTTAAAAGATATTATTTTTTTAGCCTTCAAGCTTTCATCAATGCGGCTGTTTCATATGTTCATGTTTTATTGTAGGAATCAGTCTGTGTGTTGAGTGATTTGGAAACCTTTGGGTGGGGGGGTGCCTTTATTCAGTGGTGATTCTAGACTCTGCTGGGGCCCTATAGGCAAATATTAATTAAGGGCCTCTCCAACCACTTTTATATCTAGCAGGGTCAAGATTCTCTTCCTCTTTCAGTGATTTTTGGTTTTCACAAGACTAATACATGATATGCTATGCAGGGCAATGAGAGTGAGTGCTGTCAGATGGGGCTCCATGAGGGAGGTTTCCTTCCATCTTTGCAAAATTTGCACATTTTGAGCTACTGCTGTGGTTTAAAGTTTTACAGCCCTCAGGGGTGGCCCTAAGTGGTCTAGGGACAGTGGATAGAGAAAGAAATAAGGGAGAGAAAGAGTGTGGAATGACAAGAGGGAAAGGAGCCACAGGGCGGATAAGTAAGGTCTTTTTACCTGCTCTTTCGTAATGTTAACAGACAAAGAGTAAGGTCTTTTACCTGCTTTTTGTAAAGTGTCTTGAGATAACACTTGTTATGAGTTGACGCTATACAAAAATAAATTGAATTGAATTGAATTAGAAACCTGGGCCACCAACATGGGGCATACGGACAAACCACTACACTACTGGCGCCCCAAGATAACCAAACTTACAGTATTATGGCCTTTATCATGAATTAATAACAAAGTTTGTGCACTAAATGTATTTTACAACACTGGAGGTTGCAACTTGTTTTGAACTTGATGATGACCATGTGAATAGTGATAAGATGATGCTTAGTTCAAACATTGAACAGAGTAACAAAAATGTAATTTCTGCCAAGTCATCTTTTTTACCAAAGACTTTGTTTTAATGACGAGGGCTGAGGACTAACTGTACAGCTCACAGTCTGTCATAGCTCACGTTTCAGATGAAAATC